GTATAATTAAAATATACTCGACTCTATCACAATACTAACCTTACAAGTATACTATTAATTAATAGTATTACTAATGTTTCACATTGTTTGAATAAACAAATACATTTATTAATATATGAGGTTCCATTCAGTTCAAGGAATTAAATTTTAGTGTGGCTGCAACTTACTCCTTAAGTTAAAAATGATGCTGTATATTGTAGTTTATATGTTATACTGCTTTCACAGTGAATCACATTTTATAGTAATACACTCTGAATGAGGATTTAATTACTCTTAGATCTACAGTAGAAAACAACAGAAATCCGGATGGTGTAATAGTATAATCTCAGTAACATCACCAATTGTTACATTTGCTGTATTTTACAGCTGTTTCCATGAGTACGGTGAGTTACCGTAAAAATAATGTAATCTCATGGAATTTTCCCACAATTACATGCAAATTACAGTACTAAACTGCTAACATCCTTTAGAGTTTTTTACTGTTGATTTTGCAGTACTAAGCTATGGAAATTACTGCAAAGGCTAACAGTGTGGTTCAGAGGCTGACCAGGATGGCAGGACAGAGACATCAGTCCTCAACAACACACCTCTAAGGTTCCTGGCATGCAAACGTTGGTAGATGTTGTTTGATGGTAATCTGTTTCTTTATTGGACGGGGAGGAAAAGGCCGTGTTGGAGGTTTAGGGTTCGTTAAATATGCATCAGAACCATTTGCACACATCCCGAGCTTCATCTTCAAACTATTTCTGTGAACTCTTTTTACTCTAAATTAGGAGGCCTGGAAAACCACTTTGATAACCTCCTTCTCTCCAATTAGCACTCAATGCGCATTCTTCATATCCATGCTGTTTGGACGAGGACTGATGTTCACCTGGTTTGTGGCCTGTAGAGGAGATGCAAGTAGCAGAAGTTCAGTCCAGCACTGTTTGACTTTCAGGTTTTGGATGCAGAGAGGAGGAAAACGCAGCAACATTTGAAGCCTGTTGAGCTCAGCTTTAATCTGCATGTGGGAAGCAAATGAGGAGCTTGTTTCCAGAAGCAGTGTTTCAAAGGAACAACGCCCACAGACCCGCCCACAGGCTGCTGGCAGGAGAACAACAGCAGGAGGAAACACTGAACTTACAGAGACGTTCACAGCTCGGCTTTATGAGGACAAAGAGACTCTTGGAAACACTTCTGTCCATCGCAGGTTACAAAGCATCACAATGCACATGCTCCCAGAAAGCACCAATGAATGTTACTGACCTTTTCTGTGTACACGGCAAGCTGCAGGGTTCATTCTTGCTCCTGTTTTAGGATTTCAGGTCATTTCTGCAGCTATGCAGATGATGCTGTGTTTCAGTGCACAGCCCGGTGTCGTCGACGTCGTTGGTTATTGTCGTTGTAACTTAACCTTCTCTCTGAAGCTGCAGGGTAGAATAATAAGAGGTTAGTGTTCTTCACATTCCTGTTTCTGCTGTTTCTCTCTGCAGGCATTTCAGACGCTGACCTCGTGACTCAAAGATGATCATCTCCTCTGGACCGAGAAGGAGAATCAGCTTCTGAAGCCACCAAACATTTCTCACCTCAGCATGGCAGACGACCTCTACAGCAGCACCTTCTCAGCTTCGGAATCAGACTTCTCCTCATCGTCTTCATCCTCAGCTTCAGCCGCCTTCCTCACACTCGAGCAAAGGGCGGCCTTCATTTTCGTCCTCATCCTCTTCATCTTCTTGGGCCTCCTGATCGTCCGTTGTTTCCGTATCCTCCTGGACCCGTATCGGAGCATGCCCTCCTCCACCTGGACCGACTACATGGAGAAGGACACCTTTGATTATCGGATTTCCTGACAGGCAGCCTGAGAGGCAGCAACCCTGACAAACGACAGTTAAACTGAGGCGACGATCACGCTAAGCAGGTGAAGCACAAACACAGGTGCACATTTTCCCACAAGGCGGAGAGAAACCAGACGACAGGCCACAGGGTTAAATATGCCTCTGTGACACTTTGTTGGTGTATAAAGTTTATTTATTCTACAGAAAGTTGGTGAAAAGTTCGAGCAGAAAAGGCGAGCTCCAAGTTTAATAAAAACACGACTTTCCAAATCACTGAATAACTTTGATGATGTGAGCAGCTGTGGTTTGCTTCCACAGCCACTTTAGTCTGATGTTAGGCCTCTTACCTGGTACTGCTGAGGCGTTGTTGTTATATATGAAGTGTGGCAGGTGGGAAAAGGAAACGTGCGCTCTGTGTTTCTATAGCTTCCGGTCTGATTGTCGCCTCAGTCTGCCCGGCAGGCAGCACATCTGGGTAAAAATCGGCATTTGTCTCAAATCAATCAGTGTAATTGGAAATGTGTGAAAGTATTGAAGACATGCAAAGTCCTCAGATATGAACAAACAGCTCATGCAGATCAATTTGCACGTTTGGAGTTCTGATTGGTTTGAGATGTGCAGGTGCCATTTTTGCTCAGAAGCCACCAACGTTTAGAAATCCCTGCGCTCCGAGTGTTACAGGTGACCGATTTCTACAAGCAGCGAGCTGCCTGCCGGGCAGCGTGTCAGGGCTGCCGTCTCTCATGGAGAAGACAGTCTTTTTGGTTTTTCTTTTACTTTTTGTTCTCTTTCTGAACTTTTATTGACTCAGACTCAAAGAACTTACTCTGACAGCTGCTGAAGCTCACTGAGGACACGCAGCCTTATTTGGAGGAGGAGGCTCTGCTGATGAGTCTGCAGAGCCGAGATGTTTCCAACATCTCTCCATCGTCCTCCTGCCGGGCTGTTGCTTAGTAACCAGTGATGTCTGCAGCCAAAACACAGAAAACAAACGACCCTCAGCTGCTGTTTCACCAGTCTGGCCCAAAGCCGACTGTCCGCCACAGCCGGCGCTGAGATCACATCCACAGGTGGGTCTGACCTCAATCTCTGCATCCAATCACAGGAAAGAAGAACCGGAATGATGAAGACTGCTCTCACACCTTCAGCCATCCCAGAGGAGCGCAGCCAATGTGCTTCATTGCGACGTTTCTGGAATTGCTGACACGGACTCATTTTTATGGACTTTAACAGGTTCGGTTAGCGATCACACTGAACGATGACCGTGCTCCCCTCTGCCAGAGCACACCACAGCTTAACCTGTGAACATCTGAACAGTCAGCAGGTCATCGTGACCCATCCAGGGCCGTGACGGCAGTTTGGGTTCAGCCAGTCTCATAAAAAGTTTGTATATTTGAGACACTTTACTGCCAGAACACCTGGGTCAAATGTTCCCGTGTGGAAGGTGTGGTGATTACATTCAGTTCCAAATATGATGAATGGGTTTAATCCAACATGTTAGATCACCTGGTTACATGAATATTTCAGTAAATATAGCAGGTTTAGGTTCTTGTGCTGGAAGCATGAATGTTCTGTCTGCCTTCCAATCGCAGCAGATCATGGTTCACTGTTAAATCTCAGTTCAGACACTCTGCCAAACACTTTACCGCACTGCCAAGTGGGATGAAGAAAAGTCTCCCATCTAAAACACAGGATGAGAAATAACTGCTGTAAATTCTTCTATATGATCAGTTTAGTGTGCTTAATGAACCTGAATCCATCAAACTCTGCGTCTGTTTGGAGATGCAGACTTTCCATAAAGTGGCTGAAACCATCGAGGCAAGAAGGAAGTCATGTTAGGGGAAGCCCACTGTCCTCGAAGGTTAACCCTTTAAAGACTTTGAGTTTTTGTCTGTTGTGCTTTTTGTTTTTGTTTCTGGAAGCACGACCGTGTCTCCATCTCCTCTCCATAAACGTGTTCCAGCCAGTTTTCAGGCAGAGAATCAAAGTTCTGCTACACGACAGTCTGCTAATCTCAAAACTGGAGGACTTAATGGATTTAATGGTTTCTTATCAGAAGCAGACCTGGTGACACACATGTCGTGCGTCGCAGCGCTGCTCTCCTGACCTGCTGCTTTGGAGCAGCTTTAGTACCTGAGGGACTTCGAGGCTCATCCTGCTGTAAAGAGAGAAAATAAGCGTTTCTTTAATTTCCGTTGCTGCACTAAATGTTCGGTGCAGCTTTTCCTGTAGTTTGATGGGAGCAGAGAGAACAGCTGTGGAGGAGACCTCTTCCCACAGCAGCAGCTCTGCACTGATGTGTTTTTGCTTTTTCCTCGGGCCGCCTGCAGAAGCTCTGCTGTAAAGGGCTTCCTCGTGGTCGGAGGTCTCCTGTCAAACCTGTGAGCTGAAAAATCCCCTCGAGCAGACAAACAGTTTGAAGCCGGTGAAAATGAAAGGCCTCCCCTCTCCGGGTTTTCATCATGCAGGTCAGCTGAGGTGTGGATGGCAACGCGAAACAGACGGCATCGACTGCCAACTCCAACCCAGTGAGCAGTCCGGCGTCCCTGAAGATGTTTGTGATCCTCAGACTGGGACTTACGGGGTTTCCCGACCCGTTTCCTGTGCCTCCGTGGATCTGCCTCCCAGTATTCCTCCCTCTTTCTTTCTGTGAAACTCTAAAAGTCTCTGAGGCACTTTGGGGGGGGGGGGGCGCTGCTGCCGGGGGGACCCTGAAGGAGAAGCCATCGGCAGAAAGCGAAACGGGTGATTGTTGTCCCTGTGCAGCAGAGGGAGGCCTCTTCTCATCAAAGCACAGCGGGGTCGTGGATCTGAGATCTTTGGATTTTCTTTTTCGTTCATTTTTAAAGTTTTGGGGCTCGCTCCAGTCCCAGCAAAGCCCTCCGTCACATCACAGACAGCAGTTTTGATTTCTTCAGCACATGAGTGAGCATCACTGAAGAGTTCGTTCGCTCTGCTGCTGCAGTCACGCTGACTGTCATGGACACGTCCGTGTCCAACAGCTCCAAACGGGCTTCAGACTCCATTTAAAATAAATAAAAATTCAATATGGGCTTCAGCACTCTGGTCCTGAAATGTTCGATTTTTATAGTTAAAAATGAAAGAATGACTTCAGTCCTACATTTCAGCAGATTTTCACAATTTGATCAACTTAAAATTCCCAGATTGTTTTTAAATTTAGCATAAACATGTATTATCTGAAGAAAATCTGATCTGATAGGTTAAACTTGGGCTTTTTTACTATGTAACATTAATATTATTGTTATAATTCAAATATGAATTATGACTCAGGTCATATATTCATCTGTATCGCGACTCAAACAGCGAAACACCAACGTGACGACAAACAAACCCATTTCCTGTTTGAGGCTTCAAACGTTTTCCTCACAGGGACGCTGGAGACTTTCCTGCTGTCGTTTGTTTAACAGGAAGTCCTTCTTTTACCGTGACCTCCATAAGTCCTTTTCTTTCACACTACTTTCAATAATAATAATCATACTCTCTGTGTCTCCGTAGAGTTTACAGGTCACTGTATGTCACACTCACACATGTAAGAACACACACTCAGCAGTAAACGAGTGCATTACTGAGTATATTACTCCAAATAGTTCACAAACACTTTTCTAATCTCTGCTTTTCTTCGCACAGTGTCACAAAATGTCCCGGCTGCCTGTCACGAGGCACACCTGTGACAATATATCATATACAGTCTGTGCACGTGCACTTCCTGTAACACACACAGCGACTCACTGCCAAACTAAGCTCCACCCCTCCGGTCTGTCCCCCTCCTGCCTCCATCTGTCAGTTTGCAGGTGAAGCACATGTTGCTAAAGCTTATAAAGAAGAAAAACTGCGATAACGGAGTAAAAGAAGTGTGAGTAAGTGGCTCTGTCTCAGACTCTCATGACGCTACTGTCAGCTGCTGCACACCTGTGCAGATGTGCTTTAAAGCTGTGGACAGGTGTGCACGCACGCAGTCTCGTACACCTGCACTGTGGGGACAAAGACGTGGACACACTTTGTTTTTGTTCTGTCCGTGGGGATTTGTGTGCTCTCTGAGTGGCTCCACATTATTATGCAGTGATGTGTGGAGTACCAGAGGCTCCAAACACGAGTGATATGCAGTCTGAGGGGGGGCTGTCCTACTCAGGCTCGTTTCCTCACAAATGTGGAGCCATTTGCACAGCCGAGGTAATCCTGTGCAGTTTATGTCTTATTTGCTAAATGGGAGTGAAGCCAGCTCGTTTTCCCTGCAGCTCTCCGTCCGCAGGTGGAGCTCAAACAGCAGCTAAACTCCCAGGATTACACTGATGGCTTCAGTTATTACCCTTATTCCCTCCTTTCGTTTTAATGTAGACACGACAAAGACCCTGTGGCTGAGTCCAGGGAGAGCAGCGAGAGTCAGAGACGAGGGAGGCAGTGAGACGTTCATTAAGCCTCCGTGGATAAACACAGCAGGCAGGAAGTGTCGTCATTCGTGCAGCCAAACCTGAGAGCCAAAAACAGGAAGAGTGATGAGCTGACGGTGGGCCAAAGTATCCAGTTCACTATGGTCGTGTCCAAATTCATGGGCTGCATCCCCCTGAGTCTACGTGGGCCGGGTCCTCAGAAGGTCGGGTAGGCCGGAAGTAAACGGCTGTGGAATGTGACGGTCTCGCCTTCAGATTAGCGTCGCCGCTGTCTCGGTGGAGTTTAATAAACTCGGCCGTCTGCTCCTTGCTATCTAAAATATAACCAGACACTGGAGTAAACTCTCGACCGTCTCACACTTCTGTTTAATCAGTTTTTTGTTTGACGTTTAGTCAGCTGTGTGAAAATCCCAGAGGAACCCACCCGGGGGATTAATAAAGTTTTATCCAATCTAATCTAAGAACTTTAATCTCAGCCAAACCGATTTACTCAGGAACAAATAAAACACTGAAAAAAGCCCAACAATAACATTTGTAGGTTGTCTAAGTGACTTACATATCACGTTTAACCTGAGCAGCGAAACTCTGCGGTGATCTGAAAATGATGTGCCGGGAGTTGTGCCGTTCTCGGCCGCATCAGTGACCCTCGCTCCCGGCTAGCTATCGAGCTGGTGGGTAGCAGACGTCTCCGAAAACATCGAAGCACTTCGGCAAATATGGGATATCTTGATAAACCGAGCAGATATTTGATGTTTGCACAGCTACTTTCTCGCCTGAAAATATGTTAAAAGTTTATTTTGTGACCCAGAAAGATTAATAAGAGTGATTTTAAAACTTAGTAGCGGCCGCCATTATTGGAAACTAGAGTTTGGCTGGGCCGCGCTATGAATTCTGGGATATGGTAGGTCACGAAGGATACACCCGACCCATCCTTCAAATTCGGGGAAAATGAGGACGCATTTGTCGGCTGCATTCGGAGGAGTCTACGAATTTGGACAGCCTTCGGCACGTCGCTGTGACGGCCTACAAATGCGGCCTCAGGAGGATGCAGCCCATGAATTTGGACACGACCTATTTATCCACAATCTGATAAACCTTCAAAATAAATGACTGAAACGTGACATCCTGTTACAGGAAGGAAGCTTTTATTTTTGTAACCCTGACAAACAAAATGATCCAGATGTAGTTTGTTCTTCCTTTTTATGAAAACCTTCAAAGTTCAAATTCAAATTCAAATTCAAATTCAAATTTTATTTGTCACGTA